AGAAGAAGAAGAAGTGACGTCAGCGGCTCATTTGCGTAATCTTCCCTCAGGGAACTTATTCCGGTGTGAACGCGATCTGTACTTAGTGCCCTGGGGTACTAAGTGCCGGGGCACTAAGTGCCGGCACTAAGTACGGCAAAGTACTTGGTGTGAAAGCGGCTATTGAAATAGCATGAAGCCTTTGATACAAGGTGTAACCTCCCTGCTGAGTACCACAAACCGAAAAATGAATTGTTAATTTTGCACAAACAGGACACAATTAAAATGAATTGTAGCATAATTAGCTAGTTGCTAATTAACATATTTTGTCTCTGTGCAGGTAGACAAAAAAACACCAGCAAACAACAAATATGCTAGATAAAAGAACACAATACATAAAAGTCATGATCTTTTAAAACCTGTTTTTGAGAGCCAATTCAACTGAGCAATATCAGAGGGATTAGAAGTTATGAAACATGCTGCACTAAATATGCACAAAGAGCTTTGAGTCTTTCTACTCTGTGTACCCTCTGGCTCCACTGAGACACAGTGGCTTGTTGCTGGATGAACTGATACTCTATGCACAGTGACATCTGCTCACTGAATGTTCTTTGTTGCTTTCAAACCCCCCTGTTCACAGCTCTGCTACCTATCGCTGTCACACTTTGTCTATTTGGGAAAAGTTATGTACAGATTTGCAACGTGACTCAGTATTTCATATGTGCACTCTGTCACTTGTGGAAGTCATTTATGTGTATCCCTGTACAGTTTGCCTTTGCAGGAGCAGTTACCGTAGAGAACAAAGACAAATAACTCATTAGGGAGTACATTTCTTTGTTTTAATGAGCAGAGAGCTGAGTAAGAACTCAAAGCAGAGAATATTATCTCCCCATAAATTGCCCGAATTGCTTTTCTTAACACTGAACATGAAAAATTGACTTTGCTGCTCACAGAAATGTCACAAAGTGATAAAGCACTGTTATCTAGGAAAATGTCGCTGAGAGTTAATGATGTGTTTTATCGCAGCCAATGATATTCAAGTTTGGTGCTTGCAAAGTGCGTCCTTAACAATATAAATGTCTCCCTAATTGCAGAGCCCAACTTCACACATAAACCAGTACGCTTAGCATTGTTATAAAAGTAAAGAACATCTCGAAGGGCTTGCAATGTGTTGTTGTTGATTAGCCCCCCATGCCTTGGTTTTTAATTGGTTAGAATCTTTTATTATATCAGGATAAATCCCTTAAGATTTATCATCTAATTTTTAAAGGGGGGAGGAAACAAACACTCCCAAAACAAATGGAAGACAATATAATACCAGACATGATGTTATATAACACAAGATTCAAAAAAGAAAGAACAAATAAACAAACAAGTAACAAACTAACCAAGAGAGAGGCAGAAACATTTATTTAGTTACAAAGCTGGTAAAGATCTAAATAAGATCTGAACAGAGCATCTTAGTAAATTATTGAATGTTTAAAAAAAAAAAAATAGTTTTAGACAATGAGGATAGTCAAAGCTCATATATTTAAAAATATTGGTTCCATGATATGTTTGACTTATAGCAAAGTGTGTTTAAAACTTTGAAATAAAATGAATAACTTCACATAAAACGGCATAATCTGTTATATATTACAATGAGTCCTTGTGCTTTAATCCTGTGAAACAGTTTATCCTAGTCTCATGATCCATCTCAGTAAGAACAGACGACATGAGGTTTAGGGGAGCAAAGGATTCTGGGTGACTATGACCTGACATCAAACACCACTATGGTACCCAAGCTCACAAGAGGAAGGCGCTATACTTGAACTTGTCACTCTTTTATAATTGTAACAATCCTCTCGGTTGTTAGAGTGTATGTTGTTTTACATTATCATTTCCTAAAATGCTTTGCTGCACCTGCCTTTTCACATTAATCAGCATCAAGCAGAGAGATCATATCAATTCTCCACATTCTCCTCCGCCTCGGAGTGAGTGGCACATCTTCTATTTCAAGGCCTAAATCTTTTTATCTAACCATCTTCCCAATTCTGTCCTGTCAACTGATAGTGACAGTTTGAGGTAAGAGCTAAATTAAAACCGCGCTCAAACAAAATCGTAGAGAAGAAACTGTCAGAGTTCTGGCAGTCTATCTACGGTTTATTCTTCGACATGAATTTATTTAATTAAAAAAAGTAAACAAACTGTTTTCGTATTGGAGAAAACATAACTTTACCAATATTGGAGCTATGGATTAAGGAAATTCTCAATCCATCCTATTTTTTCTGTTAATCAATTTATTCTGGGGAATCTGGGTGTGACCCTAGATAACAACCTGTCCTTCACTGCAAACATCGCTGCTACAACCCGCTGCTGCAGATACACTCTTTACAACATCAGGAGGATACGTCCCCTCCTGACCCAGAAAGCGACACAACTTCTGGTCCAGGCTCTCGTCATCTCACGCCTAGACTACTGCAACTCCCTCCTGGCTGGTCTACCTGCATGTGCCATCAGACCTCTGCAGCTCATCCAGAATGCAGCGGCTCGTCTGGTCTTCAACCTTCCAACATTTTCCCACACCACGCCGCTCCTCCGCTCCCTTCACTGGCTTCCAGTAACTGCTAGAATCCACTTCAAGACAATGGTACTTGCGTACCATGCTGTGAATGGATCTGGCCCTTCCTACATCCAGGACATGGTTAAACCATACACCCCAGCACGTGCACTCCGCTCAGCATCGGCCAAACGGCTCGCTGTACCCGCACTGCGAGGGGGACCCAAGTTCCCATCAGCAAAAACACGTGGGTTTGCTATCCTGGCTCCAAAATGGTGGAATGAGCTCCCCATTGAAATCAGGACAGCAGAAAGCCTACACATCTTCCATCTCTTTCGACTCCACTTCGAGCGATAGAATTACTAACAAATCATTTCTAACAAAGCACTTATATACTAATAAAGGACTGGCTTATCTAAAGCTAGTTGAGTAGCACTTGAAATGTTTTGGCTCTATGAAACCTGATGTACTTATATGATTCTGTTTTCTTCAAGTTTGTATCTTCTTGGTCGAATGCACTTATTGTAAGTCGCTTTGGATAAAAGCGTCAGCTAAATGCAATGTAATGTAATGTAATGTATTCATTTAGCACCTGAAACATTTCACAAAGGCAACCCATAATGTACAGACAGGAAAAAATCATCCCAGGCTTGCTTAATTGTCCCTTTATTTGTTGTTTATTCTAGCTACTGAGTGTTTAACCTGTTAAACCCAGAGCCTGTTTTTCAGGTCTCAGGCTCGAAAATGACATTCCCAGAACAAATGACAATAAGTTCCCTTCTAAAAGGGGTACATTAATAATCTTTTTTCTCAAAGCAATGATAAACCTGTGAGTTGGATGTAGAAAATTCAGAATCAATATAGATTTCTTTTTATTTTAAAGTAAATTCAGATTGAACATGGTAAAGAAATGTAAATTATAGTGTCTGTCCAAAAATAAACCATTACTTATAGTGAAAACCACCCTTGAATGATGGGATAGTAGACTAAAAGCTTTAGGAATCCAAACTATAACATATAATAAGTACCCTGTATCAAGATTGATGCAAAACAAGTGACATTTGACCTTTTTAGAGAGATTTAGCACAAAGAAACCCACCTCTGGGGTCATTTGGATGGAAATGGGCGTATTTGCCGTTTCTCTGGAACCCATTGGTCGATTTTGATGATTGACATCTCTTTTGAACCGTTAGAGCCAATAGAATCGAAGGGGGATTTCCACATACACACACATGTTACCATTGAGAAATGAGAGCTATGCGCACGCAGTTTGCCCAAAGCGAAACCTATTTTACGCTCTGAAATCTGAAAACTGAAAACTAGTTTTATTACTGATGGATTATCAGAAATCATTTCAAAGTGACACAGACACATTGGATTAACCTATGGATTAACCTTCAGCAGCGTTTTAATGCCATTGAAGACAACTTTTGATCAGAATACAACAAAGGTAAGACATATTGCCGTGTTGGCTACCTAATGCTACGTGGTGTGATGTCTTTGTTAGCTTCTCATGTCGCGAGTTCGGATCGGTCAGTAATGATACCAATACCTGTCGAATCTGTGCAATCTCAGCTTGCTAATCGATATCTTGTTTGTGCAGATATGATAAGTAATAAGGGTATTTTAACGTGATTTCTGTGCTAAGTGTGTTAGCATTTTTTCGCTCAGGGCTAATTCAGAGCCTTGTTATTACCCTTATGTTTCGTTTTGCTAAAAATGGTTAATATTGTCTGATAGCTGAGTTTCTTCCCGTTAAGTGGGTATGACACATTAATAGGTTTTTAAATGTTAAGAAGCCCTCAGACGCTGTTTCTTGCAGACGTTGCGATTTTTCCCTCGCCCGGGGGAATGGGGCTTAACAGTTAAAGGAAGCAATTTGAGTTATAGCTTTGACCCATTCAGTGAGTTATTGGGTTTTTGTGTTTGTTCAGTTTCGCAAATCAAGTCTTGCTGCAATTATGGAACATGTCAGTATTAATCCAAACTATGCTTTGGTGACACCCTGTGGTAAAATGGTTTTATTATCAAATAGTATGAATTGTTCTCCATCGTTTTATGTCCATCCACTGGAAGTGCTTTGCCAAGAGGTTTATTTCTCGATATTACATGTCATTTGTTAGATGCTTTTATCCAAAGCGACTTACATACATTCAGTACTGTGGACAATCCCCACAGGAGCAATTTGGGGTGAAGTGTCTTGCCCAGGGACACAACGACATGCTGACTGCAGTGGGACTCGAACTTGCTACCCCCTGATTTGAAGTCCAGCACACTATCCACTGAGCCACAGTCTCCCGATGTAGTCCTTAACATTTACACATAAGAATCTCCTTTCTTCTACGATGACAAAGTACCAATTAAATCGTTTTTATACAATTTCCACATTCTAATGAAACATAGAAAGTAATGATTGACACATAATATGTAACTAAATGACTATTGAGCTGGACTTTGTCCTAAGATGAGCCTACATTACCAGCAGGAAATGAGTCCCTGATGTTGTTCCTGGTTGTTACTTCCACAGTTGTCCTTTTTTTTACCAATTCCTCCACCTCAGGAAGCCAAAACTACATTTTGATCTTATAGTGGACTTGCAATGGCTTCAGGGAAGGAAAGTAATGGACTCAACACTATTGCATTTGATGTAAGTACAATTACTTTTCATGTAAATGATACCATGTATTGGCATTTTAAATATTTGTAAATAGTGAGGATTGCTCTTCAATGAGTTCTGATTAATCCTGATACACAGTGGGCAAAGGTTCAGACAGGTGGGAGGTCTTTAGGTTGGAAGTTTATAAACGTTGTGCAACTCTTTCTTAGGGTCCGCACTCAGCCATATTTGTTTTTGATTTGGAAGCTTTACACATTTTCAACTAATACAGAAACACAAGGACAGAGATGTGTTTCTGTTGTCTATTATGTCTTTCTACGTGAAATGTCCATCTGTTTTAATACATTTAAAAATCCCAAAAGGTTAAATGTTGTATATGGTGTTGCAGATGGATGGGGATCATCAAAGAGGAGAGGAGGGAAAGACATGCGGCAGCAGCTGTGTAACAGAGGAAGACAGAAATAAACCCACCTATTGTGTGACTGATGTTCCTCCCTGGTACCTTTGTATTTTTCTGGCAATGCAGGTGGGTGTGACAAAGCCTTGTGGAGGTTTTGGTTTCTGCGGGTCATAAAACAACATTGTAATTGGAGCAGTAAAACTATATGATTAAATGTTTTATGGTTATGCCGTTACTGTTTTCTTCATAGTTAAGTCTGACAGGCCAAGGAACCGAGCAGTCACACTAGGGTAATCATAGAAAAGAGATCAAACAAACTGGAAACTGATTTTCTCAACTCAGATTTTGTACATGTTGTCCTAAATCACATAGGAACATATTTCTTCAGTCTGAACAGTAAAAAAACACTGACTGACTTCTGGCATTTATGTACATGTATAAAAGTAGCATCCATTTATCATTAATAGTTTGTAAAATATTGCAAATGCAGATTGTTGTTGTCCGGTGTGTGTAGGGGTGTCATCAATAACCTTAATTCTTCACTCTGATCACCATTCCTCTCCTGTGCAGCATTACCTGACAGCCTTTGGGGGGATCACCGCCATCCCCCTCATTCTCTCTGAGGGACTGTGTCTGCAGCACGACAGCCTGACCCAGAGTCAGCTCATTAACACCATCTTCTTCACCTCTGGCCTGGTCACTGTGCTGCAGGTCACCTTTGGTGTCAGGTCAGAATGATGGCTCCAGCTAATCACACCACTAACCATCCTATAAGATTGGAGACAGTTTTAGTTAAAAGTGTAAGAGTAATAGTACTCTGAGTAACAAACTCTGCTTACTCAAGTTAGACCCTTACTGAGACCCTTGGAAATGTGAAAACTGGCTTCAATTTTTTCTTTGTTACTGTATAACATAATTTCATGGATACAGTAATATAGAAAATGTAATGACTCTGTTTCCAGCAAACAGCTGTTTTAGGGGGTTTGACAAGAACCCGACAAAAACACTGAGTTGTATGCTCAACACAGTCTCACGGCATTTCGTGTTATAGTCACGAAATTAATCTATTGATTCGTGTTCACCAACACGATTTCGCCATTTTATTCGTGTCACACAGAACGATTTTAAAAGCAATGTAAATAATAACAAATTAGAAGGAAAAACAGATAAATAAAAATACAGATTTCAATATTCTGACACAGAACAATTTTAGAGGCAATGTATTTCTATTGGTAGTATGTTTCGTGCCTGCACCAAATAATAACAAATTAGAAGGAAAAAAAGATGACATAAAATACAGATTTCAGTATTCTGAGGCTCTGAGCCATTTCTTTTCCTCGTGGACGGCAAAAAAACTCCCACATTATACAATTTAAAATAAAAGGGATATGGTTAGGCTTAGGGTAAGATATTGAGTAAGAACATGTTTTTATGAACCACACAGCTTCTGGTATTCCAAGACCCGACCGGACAAAAAGACGTGTTGCAGGCACGAAACATACTACCAATAGAAATACATTGCTTTTAAAATCGTTCTGTGTGACACGAAAAAAATGCGAAAATCATGTTGGTGAACACGAATCAATAGATTAAATTAATTTCGTGACTATAACACGTATGCGTATAAAGAGAACTCAAAGGCAAAAACATGGGCTAACTGAAAAAAAACTTGACTAAGACTAAGCTGTTGAACATTAAATACATGATAATAACATACTATTAACTATCTGCTAAACACTGCATGTTAACATTGTCATTGTGAGCATGTTAGCATTACGATGTTAGCATTTAGTACAGTCTCACAAAGCTACTGTCAAGTTGACTGCTGTTCTTAACTTGTTAAAGAAAGTTTGTGACCTATTATTGTGCATTTATAACAAACATAGATTCAACTGTACTGTTGTGTAGTCTTACACATGCTTTGTCCTAATAAATGGTTTGTTTATTTGTCTGACTGAGAACTATGTTTGTTTATGTCACACTTGTAGGCTTCCCATACTACAGGGGGGCACCTTTAGTCTGGTGACCCCTGCCATGGCCATGTTGTCCCTACCAGAATGGAAGTGCCCAGCTTGGACCCAGAACGCCACACTGGTCAACACTTCCTCACCTGTTTTCATAGAAGTTTGGCAGACCCGCCTGAGAACAGTGAGCCAGCACAAACACTGCACAGCTTTTGATTGATAAAAAAACAGAGAAGTGAAACAACACTTTTGTGGAGCTCATGATTAATTCAGTGAGCTAGTTTCCACTCCGGGAAGTAGACAATTCGATTGCAGGCATAGACTCTCACTCGGCCAAAGTTGATGCTAAGGATTTTGATTATTGTTTTCCTGTCCACAGCTGCAGGGCTCTATTATGGTGGCCTCTCTTCTGCAGATCCTGGTTGGTTTCTCGGGCCTCATTGGCCTCCTCATGCGCTTCATTGGCCCGCTAACCATTGCACCCACTGTCGCTCTCATCGGCCTGTCACTGTTCGATTCAGTTGGACAGAAGGCTGGCAGCCACTGGGCATCTCTGCTATGTACGTAAGCGCTCGATGCCATAGTTACTCTCTCTTTGCCTAGTTGGAAGTTAAAGGTTTTTACAGTATTTTGGTTGCAAGCTGGGATGGATCATCTATTTCAATGACGGTATCAGTCTCTGGTATTGCATCATCATGCTAATGACAGTTATTCTCATACACACAGGACCACAGTGCTGATCATCCTGTTCTCCCAGTACCTCCGTCGTGTACCAGTCCTTGTTCCTGCATATAGCAAAGCCAAGAAACTGCACACCTCAAAGTTCTATATCTTCCAGATAATGCCTGTATGTTATGTATAAGCATGTATGTAGAGCCCGATATACACAATTTCTGTTCCTTTTTAATTGTACTGGCATATGCTGAGGCTGATACTAAAGTAAATATTGTTTAGATCCTGCTGGGGATTGGGGTCTCATGGTTAGTCTGCTACCTCCTCACCATATTTGATGTCCTACCATCTGATCCAACCCAATATGGCCACCTGGCCCGCACTGACGCTAAGGGAGATGTGGTGAACGAGGCTTCCTGGTTCACATTACCTTACCCTGGTAAGTAAACAAGATACTATCAAAGACATTCTGGGAGGTAAGGAAAAACCATGGGCATAGTAGAATCAAATATTCATTCATTAATTAACATGAATTCCTGCATGTATGATGCATTGGTGTAGGCATCACCCTGGTTCCCTTGTAAAAAAAGCCTATGGGATTACTCTATTGAACTATAGCAGGAAATAAGCTTTTGTCTAATGAAAGATTATACTAGATACTGTACAAGTTTTGTTTAGCAAGATAATCCTAACAAATAAACACCACTTGTGTGATTGTTAAGTAAAAGCTAACGATATGCTATAAACAAACCTCAGTACAGTCACATTAATTCAACATCTGAACCACTGAGTACACACATTTACGGTATGGGAAATGGAGAAAGGGAAAGTGCAAAAAAGATCACTCATGAACTAATTTGTTAATAACTAATCCTTGAATGACTCAATGCCCGAAAGTACGATTTTTTTTACACTGCTCAATATTTACAATTTTGACTCCTAATAAAGGTCAGTGGGGCATGCCAGCTGTGAGCCTGGCAGGTGTCTTTGGCATGATGGCTGGAATAATATGCTCCATGGCAGAATCTGTGAGCGACTATTACGCCTGTGCCAGGTTGTCAGGCGCCCCCCCCTCCCCCCTCGCACGCCATCAACAGGGGTATTGGTGTTGAGGGGCTGGGCAGTTTGTTGGCAGGGGCCTTTGGCACAGGCAACGGCACTACGTCATTTAGTGAGAATGTGGCTGCCCTTGGTATCACGAAGGTAAGATAAGATATCGACATCCAACCGTACAGAGTATCTTTTATTTATACTGCAGTAGTACAATGCATGTTCAAAACATCTGGTATTGAGAACAAGCACAATTCCTGTTTGTGTAACAGGTGGGGAGCCGAATGGTTATTCTTCTGAGTGGATTTTTCATGATTTTGATCGGGATGCTGGGCAAAGTTGGGGCCATCTTCGCCACCATCCCCACCCCTGTAATGGGAGGCATGCTTCTGATCATGTTTGGAGTCATAACTGCAGCAGGAGTTTCAAATCTGCAGGTATAATACGATTAACAATCAGCCACATTGTGTCCAAATGCTTTGCTACTATTCAGAATGTTGCTGACATATCTCATTTTACAGTCCACAGACATGAACTCCTCCAGGAATATATTTATTTTTGGTTTCTCCATTATGTCTGCACTCGTCATTCCGAACTGGATAATGAAGAATCCTGGTTTCTTAGATACCGGTATCTATCAAGAAATGTCATTACTCCTTAAAGCCTTTTCTATTTTAACAGCATGTAATGTATATCTTTCTCAATATTTATTTTGTCTGTGTTTTCATTTAATATTTCTTTTGTAACTCAGGTGTTAAAGAGGTAGATCAAGTGCTGCAGATATTATTGACCACAAATATGTTTGTGGGAGGGTTTCTTGGCTTCTTCCTTGATAACACAATTCCAGGTGAGCTGAAATGAAGGTTGTTATTGACACAAGTTCTAAAATCCAATGAATGTGAATGTAAACTATTATTATAAAAAAAGGTGTGGTCTAATTGTCTTTCTAATACCACGATCTCAGGGACCAAACGTGAGCGTGGCCTCTTAGCCCGGGATAAAGTACATCTGGAGGACTCTAGCTGCACCTTGGGAACTGAAGAGGTGTATGACCTTCCGTTTGGCATAGCCTCTTGCTTGTCATCCCAATCTTGGGTCCGTTACATCCCTTTCTGCCCATGGAAGGATAGCAGATCTGAGAAACAGTCGGAGGAAAACAATATGCCACAAGGCCGGGGGAAAGAGCACCTGCAAAACGGCACGGAGGTGTTTGATGAATGTGCTCTATAAACTGTGATATAGAGGTGGTGTCATAAAGTGAAATAATAAAAATTTTATCTTTTTACATCACACAAGGGTCAAATAAATATTGTTTTGAGGATCTTTGCCTACTGATGACTGGTCAAACAGGAGATTACAATAAAGTTTACTTTCCTACATGAATCAGAACTGCCAGCAGTAGATTTATTTTTGATGCATCATTCATGTTTTAACCCTTCAATTATGACTATGCAAAAAAAGGAAGTGTGAACTGAAGCTTCCACATTCTGTCAACACCAAATAAAGAAAACTACTTAAATATCACTGTGTTACTATGCTCCACCGTTACTCATATTTCTTCTAAAAACTCATAACCAGTCACACACACACCGACAGAAAACTAGAATAATGCATTCCTCATTCTCCTCTTTCAAAGGAAATGTAATTTAGCCTGTGGATAACTGTATTATCACACAGCCCTATCTTCACACTGATCTAAGCAGCAGCTTAAAAAACCCACAGCAGTGACCCTCTGGCTCTTCTTGTGTTTCCTTCTGCAAAAACAAAAGAGATAACACATATTTTCAATCGTCCACTTTGCCTTCATCTCTTTTCTCTGTCAATTCATTTCCTCTGCCTCACCAGCGCTGACAGGCAGGTGGGATATGGTTTAATGCTTTGATCTGTGGAGCCATCAGTTTTCCCAGAGGCACAATTGAAACACTGGTCAATGGTTAGATGTACACTGTAATGTTATTTAAGGATGGTACAAAAGCACGAGTAAACTTGAGCTATAAAAATCGAACCTTTTTTATTTACGTGCCTTACTGGAAACGCATTACAGAATATCATATTTTGAAAGTTAGTGTTCTGGAAAGGGATTTTGCGCAGTGATCGTCAATTGGTTTTGTGTAACACTATGCCAGTAATCTGCATTTCAATGGGAAAGGACAACTCAGCAACTCTGTTCATTAGTAAAGGCTTAACATTTACCAGCACCATATTTTTGTATTCTGTCTTTGAGACTTCAGCCTCATCTCATCATGCCTCCATGGCTCTCAGGCACTTTATGAGATCTATAGTAAGCTCTTGAAAGCTTTCAAACACCTATTTTATCTTTTGGACATAAATATTTACGCAAATGGAGTTAGGAGAATGGGGAGAGAGACACACAAAAAGAATAAGTAGTGAGATAATGTGTTTTAGTGACAGGGTCATTTTTTAGACAATGTGAAAGACTGCTCTACACACTCCCGCTGACTCAAAAGCAAACAAAAATGTCCAATGAATGCAAACATCAGTATATTTATTTTTAACTGATCTAGCTAACCGTACCCACATTCATTCATAAGATTGATTTTTATGTGAAATCTGAATATACTGCAGTGGATTCATAATACCTCACTGTCATGTGGCTGGGTTTCAATATTAGCTTCTATTTTTCATCCTATAAAATTCATTTCGACTCATCACAGGAGAATAAATATGATGAAGTACAAATACTTGTATAAGAAGGATGAATCCATACTGCTTAAGAGTAACTTTAAAAGTAATGACTTGACATGTTTACACCATGTTGCGCCCACATGTATTATTGATATGATCCTTTTCAGTGCCAGAGTTATGGCTCTGTGCTTTAGGAAACTAGGTGTTATTCACTCACTGAGCTAAAGTGTGGGAATGAAAATGGTAGATTATGAAAATAATTAGTCAGGTTAAGCCTCAGGTTTTTCAGTCATCCATAAGAATAAAGTCTGTTCATTTGGGTTAGGGTGGTTGGCATATCTGATACTTCTTTGCTCTGTAAATACTGGATGAATCAGCACACCGTTTTCAAACTGCGTCTGACGAATAAACTTGTTCTGAGTGAGAATAGAGCGACTTTTGCTTCTCAAAATATTCACTCTCTAAATCAGGAATAAAACTTCAAAATCTTTATGCTGTATACTATTGTTTTATCTCCATAAATTGGTTGTATTGGTGCTATATATATATTGAGATTCTTAATCCATTGAAGTGCACAAAGCAACTAAATAATGAACTAACTAATTAACTAACTAACTCTGGATGATGCTAACTGGAAGCAAGGTGCAATAGAGATAATAGTTAATCTTGTCACTAGAATACCCCAATTGCAATAAAAAACTATATAAACAGAGATAAAAAAGGCCAATCAGTAGCACTGACAATAGTTTATTACAACTATGAATTATTCAAGAAGTACAATTTCATTGTGGTTTGCCACCCTATGTGACACCGATTATAATTCTGTTAATTGAGCTGCAGAATCTGAGGACTGTTACTCCATAATTAACCTGCAACAACGAACATGAAGCAAACAATCTCAAATAAATGAGCATATCAGATCATGACACTGTAATAAGAGCACTGCTGGGTGCTGAGAAAGAGCCTGAAATATTCATATTGCTGCAGTCTTTCTTCACTAATCACAATTTCTATGTTTCCTTTACTCTTTCATCAAGGGCCTCTCCCTCCCTCCCTTATTAATGTGATCTTGAATTTTTTTTTGGATATGAACTAAAATATTGCACACCATCTGACTGGAATTTTTTCATGCTTAAAACATCCGGACCAGAACAGATTCAGCATGTTCCCATGTTCGATGGATAATTATCTCCTACCCTGAGACCTGCCTTATCACAGCGGGATCACATTGGTGCTCATTAAAAAAAGGAAGAAAAGTAATCTGGAACAGCTCATCCCAAAATGTAAACTCACATGATTTTCACTTTACTCATTAGTGCTCTGAAATGCCTGCCATATCCAACAAAAGAGAATAAGATATACTCTATTGATCCCAAACGGGTTGTTATATACTTTACACTGATTGATTTCCACATTCATATTGAGGACTTATTTCATGTCAGGGATGAGGAAATGCACTGAAGAACTCTCGACGTTGTATTTTCTGGAAAATTGTGATTTCCCCTTGGTTTATTCTGCAATGTTGTTCCTCCTTGCCTCTCTGTTGATGTAGTAGGCTCATTTCAACACTGGAGGGTGCTACAGGCTAAACTTTGCTTTTCAGTCTAAGGTCTAAGTCTAAACACGTTGACAGTGTGTAAAGAGGGCCACAGCCCTTCTTCAGCAGTTTAAACTGGTTGGAGGTTGTTGTAGAGTAGGCTACTGTAGGATATGTGAAGGTGAAAAGTGAAGGTGTTGACGCCAGATTAACTCTTCAATGGGTTACAAGGCTACTGATTTCTGTCTGTCCGTGGTACCAGTTAAAACTAAACCTCTTTTGCTTGGCCCTCCAGCGGGTAACAGCTGATGAACGTTATTAAGTATTGATTTCACTTGTGAAACCGGAAGCTTTCGTGGAAAGGGCCTTACATAAGACTGGACTTTGTTATTATCTTCGAAATCAGTCCTAGCTTGTGAACCAGATGTGTTTTGTTTTGGTTACAAGTCAAGAAACCCGTTTTTTTTTTTACGTAGCTTTACAAAAACATTCCCTCTTACTTGAAAGGACAGCTTTTGTCTCTTATTTTACTTTAGAAACTAACATGGAATGACAACGTACTTCATTAATAGACTAAGGCCCTATAATCTTATATAACAATAACTTGTTCGGGTTTTATTGCAAAAAAATAGCCAAAAGTCTACTGCGTGGCTGTAACCTCCATCTGTTCGTGGAGTTGTTTGCGAGAGGACGTTGCAGCACAACAGACCCGCCAGGGATCCAGAACAGGGCGGTATGAGCCAGCTCCGTCAAGGGGCCACCGGAAGCCTGAACGCACCACGCCATGTGGAGATGATACATACAAAATAAAAGTTATAAATACCAGCGTGTCTCTTTCTAGGAAAATACATGACTAAGGTTATTGTTTGACAGGTTTTAATGTTGTTACGGACTTATTTTCCAATGGCCCTATATGCTTGAATCTCAACTCCATGCTATGTTCCCTTTAAATATGTATATAGAGATGGGAAATAGAGGAACCATTGAGAACAAGCAGATCCAATTTCTTTGAAGCATACGCTGCAATTGTTTGTATTGAAAACATATTGGATTCCCCCTAGTGTTTTATCATTAATACATTAAGTAAGTTGTGTAATATTTTAACATCGAGGAATTCAATGTTTTATTTTGAAAGTACTCGCCGGATGATCCGTTTGTCATTTTGGCGAACTTGGTGCTTGATATACTGTTTGCAACACTGCAGATAACCATTGTGTAAGCTGCTCCGTCGGCGCCAGGTTTCTGTCGTCAGACTCTTGGTGGTATTTAATCTATATTGCTGAAGACATTACGTTTCGCTCTCACTTCTTTTTGTACTCGAATTTTTTTAATCGTTATGGTCCAGCTTTGACGTTAAATCGCTAGCTCTTACACAGCTGGCCAGGTATGCTTTCACGTAGACTTCTTGGAGGATAGGCGATCCTGCTTCAACGGGGATCCCCCATCTTAAGCAGCCCGAAGATACATTTTTCTGCCAAAATCAAGAAGGTAACCTTATCTGTCATCATCCGTATGTTAGCTAATATTCTTTCAACTGACTGGTAACTAACATTTTAGCTAACGTTAGCTACTTTACTTGAGTCAGCTACCAGTAAGAGGAAGATACTACTCAAGTGAATTTTTAAAAACAGCTTATCTTAACAGCCAGAAGTCACATTTGGTAGAGTGAAACTCAGCAACGCCTAAAGTGTGTTATTGACCTATTAAAATAAGAAGGTTTTTAAAGTTTGTTCTTTTTTGCAGCTTGTTTCTGCCCCCAGTATTCTCTGTGCCTGTGTCAGCTATGGAGACCACTGAGGTAACTGTGGCTGTCAGAGGAGAAACATCCCCAGGTAAGTCTGTTCAACTACACTGCAGACAACTAAATATAAAGACACTTGTAACATTATCTTAGAGCTTCATGTAGAACATGCTATGTGATCACATGATGATCTATTTTTGAAGTGTAGCTATGCCAACATATTGAACTTTGTTTCCCTAAATCTTATTGTTATGTGTTTGTATAAGAGTGATTCTACAATTTAGGGTACATTCCATGTCCATTGATGTCCATTGATGATAATTATAATTATTCTAACTATTTTCTTCAAAAATATCATATTTTGCCTATTATTGGAAAGCATGTTATAATATCACACAAACATTATGTGCATCCTATGCTTTATTTAGCTTGAAATGTGTCATGATGTTCTTAAATTGTCAGTTTTTGCTATGTCCGTTTTTCAGTTGAGGGTGTCTTGGATTCAAAATAATGAATAAAAACCATTAAAGTAAATTTAAAAAATGATTCATTTATTTCAAAAGTCTAAATACTAAAGAATAATAACATATTTTTAATTGATTTCCCCCTTTAAATAATTTAAATATCTTAATATATGAATGTCCGCAAAAGTTCTGTCAACTATGTTACTAACAGAACTTCCCCCTTTAACTCAAAAATTGTTTGTCCCAATACCATGTCACCAGCATCACATGATGCCATGTTCCTCTTTGGCAGACATTTTGAACACACTGTGGTGATTGTCCTCTAAATTTTTACAATATTTTATGTATAATAGCACATGGTCAATTAATATACTCATTGACAATCAACAATGTTACGTACATTGTTATGGTTTACAATTGTTTAATGATTTTAATTCAATTATATGTTCAAATGTGATGTTAACCTGTTCAAGAAAATGACATGTGGTCATCCAGGCAAGGCCTACCATTGAAATGATGGGTCAAAATAGGGAAATTGTCAACTAGGTTACCTGTCAACTGAGTTACCCAGTACTGTAATAACTGTAGTAACTTAGTTGACAGGTAACCTAGTTGACAATTTGTATGACATGTAGACGTCATTACACATCATTATCAATGGAATTTTGCACTTCTGCCTTGAAATGAACATAGTGCTGATGGTTAATAATGTGTCCAGTCAACTATGTTATTTGCGTCAAATGTTTGACTTTCATTGTCAACTATGTTGCACCTCATTTTTTCAAATTTAAAATATCTAAAATAGTGCTTCTGATATCCTTTATAGTATAATGTATATCTACACAGGTTGGAGTTTTACATGACATCTCTTAAAACTATCAAAATGACCTGTATGGTAGTTTTATAATACAAAATATCCCTAAACTTAATGACAGTGCTGAACATATCACATGAAAAAACAAAACTTTAATACAATTATTTTTTAAACTTTAAAAAATCTTTGGATATATGGTAGAATAGACTCAAGAGCCTTTCAAATTTGATTTTACTTGAAGTGCAGGACTTAATCAAATGATTGTAATGACATCAAGTTTGTCCGTAACATAGTTGACAAACTGAGTAGTGAAAACATCCTTTCCCTTAAAATAAAAAAATAAATAAAAATGTTTAAGCTTTGCAACTAGTGGATATGTTACACTGAGGAATATACTAACTTGAACCACTGATTGTTCTATTGAGAAAGAACACTTTCTTTGTACTGTTTTGTTGATTATTATAGAATCAGTTTGTTTTCAATTAAGTACAATTCCTGGAAGTTAATGTTCAGTATTTACCAAGTTTGTAGAATGTGTAGAATGTAACATGTGAGATGATTGTGACCCATGTCAGCATTTAATTATGATTGCTTCTATTATTGTACAATAAAGAATGTTATCACATCAGGTAAAAAACACAATTTTGTCCATTTCTAGGGGAGGTGATTGCAGTTGTTGGTAGCTGTGAATCCCTGGGAGGCTGGAGCCATGAAAAAGCAGTGATCTTACATCCTCATGGGAATGATGGGTAGGTTAAATTCCAAGTTTAATAAAAAAACGTCCTTTAAATTATGACAGTTTGTGATTCTCTACTACAAAAGGGTGTTTTTTTTTTTCTTTACTATTCTGTCCATTTAAAATACATTTTGTTCCCCTGACAGAAATACTTGGACCACAACAATCACTGTGCCTAAAGGAGTTGTCGCCAAGTACCGCTATCTCAAAGGTTTCTTCCTTGAGTCAAAGGTGAGCGCAGTCTCCTGTCTGTATAGAGTTATAGCTCTAAGAATAGGTGATTGATATGCTTGTTGATTTTCAAAGATTATCCTTTGAAAGCAGTATTGGCTAAAGATGAATATTGTGGAATTCAATGCCAACGCTAATTCATATTAATTTATGCATGATTTGTGATGATTTCAGGATTTATGTCAATTCATTCGTTTTCTTGCCGCAGCTCATCAGCAGGAAGGGGGACAACAGGTTCTATTAGTTTATTCAATACCCTTTAAAATAGTTTTTGGGAAAAATAATATGTTTTATTCCTTAAAGGTCCCATGTCATGGCCATTTCTACTGGACATAATTCCATTGAGGTATACTGAAATAGATTTATATTGTGCAATTTTCCCAAATCACATTTGGTTTCTCATACAGCATCTCTGTATAGTATGTGTATTCACTCTCTGTCCTAAACGGCTTGTTGGAGCTCCTGCCCCCCCTCCTTATGAGCCCAGTGGCCGTCTGCGAGACACAGCGAAACCCAGCCCGAAACCAGCCCAAACACACACACACACCCACAGCCTGGCTGGGAGTTTGTGTGTGTGCTCACACACAAACTCACAGCCTCGCCGCGTCCCGCCGTCTCAGGGAGAAGAAATCGGCGGAGCTGCAGCTGAGAAAATATTGAGTGTGTGTGAGGGACGTAACGTAACGGCTCCACGGATTGGTCCATTTTGGTATGGGCACGTCACTGTACCCAGGAAGAAAAAGAGAAATCTCCAACGAGGCGTTTTGGGGCAGCATAGACAGGTATTTTCTGTGTTAGAGTTTTACTCGCTACAGGGTGTACTTTGAGGGTTTGTGACTCTGCAGACCGTTTACATGCAGAAAAACCTTCATAACACACAAGGGGACGGGTAATAACCGGAAAAGCATGACATGGGACCTTTAAGACCAGTTTTGTAGAATAGGCAGGCTCTGTATACACTACAGTAGAAACAAGAGGGACCATATTTCCCCGGGAAGGAAAGAGACAGAAAATGTGTCAGACCTTAACAATATATATATATATATATATATATATATATATATATATATATATATATATATATAATTCAGCTATTACCTCAAATTATTATAAGGGGATTATTATTTGTTATGTAATGGGTGGGGCTCACATTGTGTGAGACTCAAAGCCTGCTTTGCTTGACTTCCTCAAGTATTTGTTTGTGGGATGCCTCTCTGTAAACTGATAGGCTTAAAGTTTCTGCCAGCTAAAACGATGAACGGTTAATTAAATTAACATTGGCCAGTTACTCATGCAGTTTAAATATTGCATATGAAACTGCAGTTAGTCTCATCAGCAATGCATTTAGTGTACACTTGATCAGTGTTGGGCTATTGTTTCTTCCATGTGATATTGTCTTTCTTTAATGATTTTATAAAATAAAAAAATGAGATGCTAACCTTTTGCTGCTGAAATTGATTATGACTTTGTTACAGATAGAGAGCAGCCTAACTGAAGACCCCTTTTTTTTTTTTTTTTCACTAACAAATTCACTTTTCAGATTCAACAGATGGTGGCTGACTGCCTCAGCGGGAGATTGGTGACTATACCAGCTCTAACTCCTTTCTGACACCCTAGTCCAACAAGCTGCTGCGCTGACACCAGACTGAAAGCTAGATCAATGTATCTGATTTGAAAATCCTAACACTGTACCAAACATTGAAATTGCAGAGTGCAGGTGGTCCCTATCAAGTGATAGTCAATATGTGGGAGACCCATCAACACCCGCGCACGATGAGCCCCACAGGTATAGAACAACGGTGCACGGTGTGGTTGGGTTGGGTGAAGTGTGCCATGCCCCCTACACACCTCCCATTCCCTGTCCTAGCACTATATGATACAGTTGCCCATCAATACTTACATAGGGTCAGCTGTTTAACCACTGAAGAAACAAGGTTCGTATTTGAGGGAAAGTCTAATCTGACCTTTAATTTATTGTTTTGGGCAATGTGTATCTCAAAATTAACAAACTACCACCTGATTGCAGTGTTTATGTTTTGGCAAAAAGAGCGGGACAACACTTGCTGGAATAATCTAGAGAGCCATAGAGTAAACTCTGCAATGCAGCATATGTAATGAACTGATATTGTACACCTCTCTAGTTAAATCAACATTGTGTTGGACTAACACTGGCAAAGTTCATTTTGTTCAAATGAGCTGGTTGGCTAGAATAATTGCCTGCACCAAGCCCGTCACCCATCATTTTCTTTCTTTCATCTAGCCACTAAAGCACTTATTCCCCTAGAAAAATATTTTTTTTACAAACTTTAATTTTTGATATTTAACCCAGACATGTTTTGTTTGAGATCTGACTTTTTTAATAAACATCCTGCTAAACCAGCCTTACTGACAGGCTCATGCTCAGAGTCTAAGTTAAAATATATTTTGGAATCAAATACATTTTATTGCTTAGTTGAAACTTAAGGTTGAGACTAATCAAATTCAGAGCAATGAAGGCTGTTGTTTTGAGAGATCAAACAGAATTGCCTCTTTGTACACAGGAAATGCTCTGGTTTGATCTGACCTCAACCTTTGTGTACCACTGAGATTCTTTTATCCAGTTTATAATGAGCTTTCCATTTATTGCAGGATCCCACCAGAATATTGACGATGGACAGTTTGGAATTCACAGTAAGTTTGATTTAAAATAACTAAAACTACTCGCTACAAACATAAGAACTATCAATAGTTCAGCATGTAAAATCCTATGGAGACAAAAGTACAATTGAACTAAGTTGCTAACCAATGTGCTTAAAGGATCACTAAACCCGCTAATTGACCATTTGAATATTTATCACTTATCCAGTGTTTCCTTGAATTCTTAGAGAAAACATGGTTTTTCATGCATGCCTCAAAGGTGAACAAAGAATCAAATGTGTTTTTCTTCAATAATTCAAGGTTGCACTGAGTGATAATTTGATATATAATTATCGTTTAGTGAGTAAAGTATCCCTTTAATCCCACAGCAGAGGTTTCAAAGTCTTTATTTTCTTAGAGAGCTGCCGCCAGTTCTTTGGTCCGCAGTCGAAGTAAATTTATGTTGTGTCTTTCTTTTTATAGACGGGGTGAATTGTGTGGACTCTGGCTGGCTCACGTGCCAGACTGAGATTCGTCTGCGCCTGCACTATTCTAAGACTTCTCCAGTATCAATTACTAAGAAGAAATTCAAGAAGTCACGCTTCAGGTACATGTGACACTGAGGTCGAATGTAATACTCCGCAGAGAAAGTTTTCCTTGAAAGTGAAATGAGAGGGAGCAGAAGGTCATTACAGAGCTACTATTATCCAACCTTTTACTAAAGTGCAACAGAAACTCTGCATATGAGGGAGGCTGAGAGTACAACCTCACTTGTTAACACCTTATTTTTTCATGTTTTGATGCATTCATTTCTTTAAGTATATGCTTCTTTCATCATCCCCATATCTGTGTATTTACCTTGTTGTTTATTTTCCCTACCAATACAGAATCAAGCTGACGTTAGAGGGGTTTGAGGAGGAGGATGAAGATGAAGATGAGGAGGAAGAAGGCCAGCTTAGTCCTGCCTCTTTGCTCAGGGAGACCACCACTCTGGAGATCAGCATGATCAGTGCCAACGGCTATAAGTCCCGCCACTCGCAGCCTGAATGTGGCAATGCACTGGAGCCCTCCCAGTGGACCGAGTACAACATCCACACAATGGACCCCTACAACCTGGAGCTCACCTTTGAGTTCTTTGAGGTAAAACTGCTCATGATAAACTAGTAAAATAGGTATTCCTGACCTAACATATCAAGTATCATAGGATAGGGTTGGGAACCGAAACTCGGTTCCAGATGAGAACCGATAAAAAAATGCTGGGTACCCATACAAAATACACAATTTCGGTTCTGCTTAACGGTTCCTAAATGCGGTAGCCCCTGTATTCCACCGGGTCCGTCTGCGCCGCGATGACCCGGTGGAATACAGGGGCGGACTGGCCATCTGTGTGTTCTGGAGAATCACAGAACGGCCGGTCGTCAGCGGGGCGTAGACGGCCGGCTCGGTACGCTGACGGCCGGCACCGCCCTTCTTTTTTTTAAACTGCATCATGTAAGTTGTGCTGACAGGCGACAGAGGTCCACAGTTTCCCCGCAGCGAGGCTCCCCCCGCCCTCCCGTAGACAGTTCACGAGCTCAGTCATTTCATAACACCAAAGATGGATCGCGGTAAACGCTCTAAAGTGAGACTCCACTACACTAAAAAAGAAAAAGACAAGGCACAGTGTAATGCCGGCATAGCTCAGTTAAATAAAGCACAGCTATTGTGTAATACATTTGTATTGCATGTCTTTTTTTTATTTGTAAAAATGTCAGTTAAAGCTTAAAAGAATAAAGATATTTTTGTTATCTAAACGTTTGACCTTTCTTTTACCATTTTGGAATCGAAACGGGGAATCGATAAAAACCGGAATCGATACATTTCAGACAATACCCATCCCTATAGAAGGATTTATCTGTTTTCATTTGATTATTATTGTAGTAATATGAGATTTTGTTTACAGGAGGATATGGGTGAGCATGTAGTCCAGGGTGATGCACATCCAGGATTTGTGGGCACAGCTTGCCTCCTCTCCTCCTCTTTCGCGGAGAGCGGTAAGGACTTTGGAGTAGCCACACTTCCCATAATGGGCCGAAATTCCAGACAGACCATCGGAAAAGTCAGAGGTAAGATATCTGGCTGCTTAAGGTAGTGAGCAACTGCTTAATCTCTTTTGAAAGTATTTATATGCTTTACTTCCTCCGAGTGACTTTCATTGTTTACACAGTGCACGTGGAAAAGCTTGTTGACCTATTTGATACTCTGTTTTTAGTGGATTACCTGGTGATGCGGCCTATCCAGGGTTTGCATTGTGACATGAGCTCCTCCTTCACCAAGTACTGGAAGAAAAGAAGTACTCTGGATGTGGGTCACAGAGGAGCTGGCAGCACACACGCAGCCAAGTGAGTCACCAGAACACTTTGACCTGGACGGGATACAGTGCCTTCTCTGGAACAAAGAAAAAAAAGTCAATCGAACAGTGTGTGTCAATAGTACATTTGCAAACCCTGCCTCTGTCAACAAATTGTGTTCTAATGTGTTTTTCAGGCACCACAGAGTTAGGGAGAACACCATAGCCTCATTCAAAAGCGCTGCCCAGCATGTGAGTTACGCAGATGATTAAAGCAGAAGTACATTTTAACCTTAACGTCATAGCTTGTTCCTGGATTATATGTCAATAATGTACTTGCAGGGCGCTGCCTACGTAGAGTTTGATGTTCACCTCTCCAAAGATTCTGTTCCCATCGTATACCACGATCTGACATGCTGCATTTCCACCAAGAAGGTAAAATAAAAGCCTGTCATATTCCCATACACAAATGTATGTCATTACTTAAAATAATTGAGGTCATTCTATCTCTCCTCGACAGAAAAATGACAAGACTTCTCTGGAGCTTATTGAGGTGCCAGTCAAAGACTTGACCTATGATCAGCTGCAGCTTCTGAAGGTAAACATCTTGAATAATGGCCAGAACTATGCAACTAAGACCCAAGTTAAGATGGACGTGGACAATGTTGATATACATTACACCAATGCTTTTCCTGATGTATGAAGCAACTATTCAGAAATTGCTATGAGAGTTAAGAATGTTCGCACTCTATTATACCAATGAATTGTGAAGCAGTAGGCCATGAGAACTGAAAATAATGTGCTGAAAATGTAATGTTTTGTTGGCTATAGATTTGATGATGTTTTTGTTTTGTTAAACAGCTGGCCCATGCCGCCGCAATAAAAGAAAACAATGACAAAGGTATGCACCCACTATTTGAATCCTCTCACCAGCTTCTGCCAGGAAAACAATGTGGAACAGACAACATGTTGAAACGCATTTCATTTCTGTGTTGTAATACAGTAATAAATTCAGCTTTGATCCAATGTTGCTCTGCGCATTCACACTCATCTCTTTGATTAGTCTCTTCAGATTTGCCGGACGATGAAGAAGAGGTTGATGAACATCAGCCATTCCCTTCACTCACACAGGTACATAACTTAATGATTCCTGAATATTAAAAAGCTGGGTATTTATCAATAACAACCTACTACTTCTACTTGTTGCCTATGTTTTTGTCATGTCAAAGTCTTAGTCAAATCAATAGCATCCTTCATATTTACATTTTTTAACAGATCTTCCAAGCTATTCCTGAGCATGTGGGCTTCAACATTGAGCTTAAATGGATTTCCCAGATGAAGGTGAGTAAGTCAATAGGTTCAATGGAGCGTAATTCAAATAATATTTTGATTGTAGATTTAAATGTGGGATAATAACACATCCTTATTATAAACTCATTTGATTTGATCAGGACGGGTCATGGGATGGCAACCTATCCTCCTACTTCAACATGAATACCTACCTGGATATCATCCTGTCCTGTGTCCTGCAAAGAGGCGGGAAAAGACGTATTGTCTTCTCCTGCTTTGACCCAGATATCTGCACCATGTAAGCACGGTTAGCAACTGAGGATACAGTATGCCCAGATTTAATCAGGCTGTACTTTTTAAAACGATTTTTACTCTCTACAGTTCATTCGTCAAGCAAAATATAATTCATCTTGTCATTGGTTTTCCCTCAGGGTGCGTCAAAAACAGAACAAGTACCCCATCCTCTTCCTCACTCAGGGAATTTCCAAGAAGTATCCTGAACTGATGGACATCCGCTGCCAGACCACTCAGATCGCCATAAGTTTCGCCCAGAGTGAGAATATTATGGTGAGCAGTGAAATGCAGAAAGTCATTTATTTATCATAAAGTATCCACTAAATGTTCTAGAATTCAAAGAAAAACAGTTAATGAAGTTAGTTTCACACTAACTGTTTTATATTTTGAAAGCACTACTCCTGATGTAATTCGCCAGTGTGACGATCAAAAACACCATCAGCTGTGGTACTTTGTAAGCAACATACTGTTAAAATGTATTCAATTTAATCTAGAAATAGCAGAATTTGTACAAATATATGTGTTTTGTCTGTTGTGAACCCTCCCTTAACAAACATTGGTGCAATGCCTTTGACCCAAGGACTTACAGAAATACTCTCACGTCAGTCACGGCACATAAAAAACAATTCCGCCAGCATTGCAGTGTCAGCTGTTTTTAAGAAATCCTAAGTGGTTCTAGGAAGTGCAAAAATTCCCTCCAGACAGTTTACTCAGCATTATCTAAGGTCACTTTGTAGGTGACCGCTCATATAAGGCTGAATTAGCTTACTTGCTATGTAAAACATACATTCTTAAACCAGCATAAAAGCGAGTAGGGAAGAAGTTCATTTTAAGATTAAGTTTATATAATTTAACAAACCCACCTTTTTTCTTAGTGGATTTCCTTACTTGCTCTTTCTAGGGAATCAGTGCCCACACTGAGGAGCTGTTGAAGAACCTTTCCTACATTGGGGATGCCCAGTCTAAAGGCCTGGTGGTGTTCAGCTGGGGGGAGGACAACAACGAGCACGAGACCAGGAGGACGCTGAGGGAGCAGGGAATCGATGGCCTCATCTACGATAGGTAAAACATGTTTATGTGTGGCAAGGCAATTTTATTTATATAGCACATTTCAGCACGCGACAATTCAAAGTGCTTTACAAAATAAAAACAAAAGACATTTAAGAATAAATACAGCATAAACGCATTATTAAATGGCATTTAAAAACAGGCATAAAAAAGCAAAGATAATGAAATAAATAAATAAATCAACACAGTAATGGCAGTTGAAATTATTCTCCAACAGGTTTTGTTTGCACAACAATGTCCATTCAAATTAATAATACAAGATGGAACACGTTGCTGCCATTCCTGTTGTGATAACATGATCATGTTTCAAGCTGTTATGCAAAACCAAAGAAGGCCAACTGAGTAGTACACAATGTCCTGTTGTGTACGGTCAGCCATGTACTCTTTAAGCAGGTCATTTAGTGTTCTAAATACTGCATTGACAATACGACTCCTGGTATGTCACTGAACTATTACAAGGCCTTTCTTATCAGCACAGTTCAGTACAGTATTCAGGGTTATATCATCAGGCACTGGCAGACACATTAATCACTTGGCATCTGCTGTAGCTTTTGATGAAAGTGGTTTGGTTAATCATTGAGCATTTTGTTGATGAATGTGAAACTGGTACACAAGACGTGCCAATGTTGTTGCATAAAGATCAGGTTGCTAGCGTGGTGAAAGAGTGTCCTGTGTGGCCAGTTTGTCCAGCCGTATCAGTTCTCTGATACTCTATACAGATACATTTGCTTTATATATGTTGAACGCTTGTACAAATAGGCTTTGAACCCTACAACACCAAACAGTCCTTACATAGATGTAACTTATTTTATCGTCTAAAGTCAAACCATTTGACTCGATCTCCAGGTTGTTGTTATAACTGTGCCTCTTTCTTACAGAATTTGTGAATGCTTGGTGCCATATTTTGACTCAAGTTCTCCAGATTCCAGTAATGTCTCTCTGGTTCCTGGCTGTGTTTTGTTTATTTGCTCACTCTATACTCCCCCTGGCTGTTTTTCGGCTGTCCTCCCACTGTTACTCAGCTTGATACATAGCAGGAACAAAACCTGTTCCTTGACAATGATGCAAGACAGTTGACTTCTAACGTCAACACCCTATTAGTACAATACTTTGTTTCAGAGTCAATGATTATTTTATCTTTTTGGATTGTACTAAACAGGGTTGTTTGATGGGTCAACTGTCATGTTTATCATTTTCTATCCTGTATTGTTTTGTATTTGCCAAGAAAGGCCTTGTTATTTTGAGCTTGGCATGATACTCAGCAATATATTTTTGAAGCAAGATGGGCACACAGAATGAATGGCTTGTTTAATGCATGAGGTAGTGTTATCATGTCGTCTTCTGTATGAACCAAACTAAGATTGATATTTATTAGTTTCAATCTCATTAGTTAAAGCTGGTGTATGATAGTCACACAGCACCAAAGCACCTTGCAGTAACCATGCATCACACTAGCTTGTAAATCTTATGAAAGTCAATAGTATAAGTTGATAGTATAAAATAACGTTGATCCAAGAAAGACCTGCATTTAAACCCCACAGCTATCCACCTCCCGTCAACTTTGTCAGATGTCGTGGAATATTTTTTACAGTTGCAATTTTTTAATTATTTGCATCTATAATGTTTGAAGACGTGCTTGTGCTGCAGTTTGGGTTGTTAAAAGGGATGATTGCACTGGATAAAAACAACAAAAACTCGATATATTTGTCCAATCGATTAACATGAGTATGTTCACGTAAAGAGTTGTGGTTGATAATTGTCCCCTGAGTCCACACTCCGAGACATATTGTACTCTCATTCTGAGCTACAGTTCCACTTCTGTTGTTAATATTGACTGGCTCTTATCCAATGTCATGTAGCTCATGAATGACCCTTGTCCTACATATAAGAGTAAGCTGCATAGCTGTGCTAAACGTACTGTGCCCAAGGACAAAAAGGTTTTAGCTTACTAGAACAATAAATGGCCTTGTCCATAAAGGGTTGGAACAATGCCTTTGTTCTCCATACTACTTGTCAGGATGGTGGCCACACATGTGATTTGACCTGTAAGTAATAAACTGCTGCCATCCAGTGCAATTATCCACCTTGCCAAAATAAATGCAGCAGAAAGCATGGTTTTAATGATCAATGGTGCATGAAAGATTTGAGCATTCTGTACATTTTTGCATCTTGTCTGTATCTGAATAATAGTTTAGTTATTGCATAGATTTTGTTCCACTGGACTAGAATGGTTGGGCGATATTTTGATATTATTTAGCAATTTTTATTGTATTGAGATAGCATGTAATAGTATTATTATACTAAGTGTTACTGTTTTACAAAATGTTGTTCTCTTAATGGTTTATTCCAGGCAAATTGTTAGAAAATGTAACCATAAGGTTTAGTTATACTAGTGTGAAGAGTTTTGCCTAATGTAATGCATGACTTTGAAGCACAGTTAAACTTCATAATCTTAAAAGTATTTTTTTACATGTGCCATATTATGATGTGTAGTATAAACATTAGATTAAAATAAATCTTAATAATTGTAATAAAGATATACATATTCCAACCCTAGCACCAAGCCATACCATTCTATTAGCCAAATTATTTTTGGATCGGGGAACTCTGACTCTGAATGGTGTTTAGAAACTTGTGATGCAGCAGATCTAACCAACGATGTCCTCTTTTTCCCTTAGCATCTGTGAGGAGAAGGGGGAGCAACCTAACCTCTTTCAGGTAGAGGAGCAACACACTCTGCAGGAGGTGATAACAGAGGAGACACGCAACAGCTCCTCCTGTTCCTGCTACTCCATCCCCTGCTCCATGGCTCCCTGCGTTTCCTCCAAGGTCTGTTCTGGCAGCGGAGAGTCTGATTCCGGCCTCAGCTCCTCTTAACTTAGGTCTTAGTGGAGCAATTTGGGAATGGATCAGCCAACGAAACAACAGATTCTGTCTTTTGTCTTGCATGTCCACAAATTGTAATTTATGCTTTCTATTGAAATAGGTGGATGTTTTGCCAAAACATTAAGACAGCCATGTTTTTAGTTTTTTCAGGCCGAGGTCTTCATAATAGTGGAACAATGGGAAATCTTACATGACAGTGAATATTTTTTATTTGGCTAATATGTTGCATCACTTCGAGTGCTCAAATTCTGGTACTTTTGATATTTTCTTTACAGCTCTAACAGAGCTGTAAATTCAAGTCCTAAACTTTATAAAGATGAAGCCTAATGCTGTTTTCTGTTTCTGCTGTGCATGTAGCCATTACTTTAAAAGTGTTATTTTTATTGTATCGCTTAGCAATGAGTATTAGCTACTGATTGCTATTTCAGGTTCACCACAAAAATCATTTGGGAGTTATAGGTTGTCACTAATGGACACGTAGATTATCTACTGCAAGTATAAGAGAACTGATTAATTTATTTCCTTTTCAGTGGACTGTCGAAAGCACTTACTCCTCCTTTCCACACGAAATGCTTATGTCTGTAAAGAACTCATAGCTATTATTGTAAACAGCATTATGGATGCACTATATCCTTAATTCTTTCTACATACTTGATTAGTGGAAAAACAGATGAATGTTTTATTTGACAGTGCACACACACAGCCTTAAGGAAAGGAGGGGGAGGTCAGGCCTGTTTCTGTTTTTTTTGTTTTAAACCGCCAATACCTCACTCCTCATCGATTAGATTAGATTAGATTAGAATAGACTTGAGTTGAGATGTACGTACAGAATTAAGAAATACTCCCTTTATGTTCTTCTTATAAATTGTACTTAACTTCACCTCACCCATGCTTTTTATTGCACGGAAGATATACCTTTTTGGTGCTAACTACGCTTGAAGTGTTTCATCATTTGCATATTGATATGGTGTATTAATATAACGCAATGATAATGCAGCATTTTGATCACAGCAAAACAAATCCATTTACTGGCTGTATATCGTCTTGCTGTCAGTATATGGGCACAATCTCTTTACTACATACAGTAATGATTGAGTTGTGCATGGTCTGTATGAATCAATGAGTCTAGTGTGTAAAAACTGTCATTTCAGGGCAGAAGGGTGTAAAAGGTATTTTAAATAAAATTAAAACCTATATTTGTTTATTCTGTCTGAGACTTTTTTCTTTCACATCCAGTAAGTTGAGCTGGGCAATTTGTTGTGTACATTTTGTTTTTGCAGAGGTTGTAGTATTTGTGGACTGCATTTTCTCCTTTATTCAAAAGAGTCACACAAATATCAATGTATCTCCTTTATCAGGACACTCTTAGATACAAGAGTTTCAAGGTTCAAGTTTCCACTAGTGCTGACAGAATAGCAATATCTGAAATATTCACAACAAGCTTCAAAGAATAGGTTAACACTGTTTCTGTCTGTCTAAAAATACCAGTCACTTGTCCGTGTAAACATTAAAGTGGACCTATTATGCTATATTGGAAAAATATATTGTAGGGCCATACCTATGCAAAACATGTCTGAAGTTTTTTTTGCTTAAAATACCAAACAGATCACCCTTTGTAGCCATGCCTCATACTGCTCCTCTTTTGCAGCCCTGTTACATGGGGAAAGAGACGTCTGTAAATCGGTGGATCATTTTTTTTTAACTAAATAAAGTATGAACTATTTTATAGCCCTTATTAGAATCATTCGGTCCTTAAGGTTGTAGAATGCACTAAAAGCCGAATCTAGATTTATGTTCTCTCCATTCATTCTAGTGAGCCGAGAGCATGGATGTATAATAAGAACTGGATACAGCGTCGGAGGCGCATGAGGACAAAATGTCCTAACTTTTGAGAGAGCAAAACGTCACAGATTACCCATCATGCCTAGCTGTCAGAGCAGAAGAACCCGTGGGTGTTTCTCAATCTCGAGTACACATGTCTTTTCCGAGCGTCTTGCTTCAGAAGCGAGGCAAGAATACTTCCTGGTAGTGATGTGTCGGTCGTTCACTTAAAAGAGCCGGCTCTTTTAAGTGAACGACGGGAGCCGGCTCGCGCCCGCGAACGAGCCGTTTTTTGTTTTTTTTTGTTAAGTAATACAAGACAGAATGATATGATGATCTCCGCGCTACAGCTGCTCCGTGCATGCATTCAGTGACATGTAATATCCAAGGATTAGAGACTGTTGGATGCTGCTGTTTTGAGCATTGCAATACATTTATTTTTATTATGTTTTTTTATGATTAGAGACGGTTGGATGCTGCTGTTTTGAGCATTGCAATATATTTATTTTTATTATGTTTTTTTATGATTAGAGACGGTTGGATGCTGCTGTTTTGAGCATTGCAATATATTTATTTTCACTATGTTATTTATTTATTGATGTCAGCTGTTGCTGTTACTTTCTATAGTTAAAGGTGGGGTAGGTAAGTTTGAGAAACCGGCTTGAGATACACTTTTTGTTATATTCCATGGAATGCTCTTAACATCCCGATATCAATGAATATCTTAAGTGCTTTGACAAAAAATCCATAAAAAAATGTCATCTGTGGAAGCCGTAGTACTGTAAAAAGCACGACCAATCATTTTAGCCGGCTTCTGTTTGCAGCGGGGTAAAAAGGCTTTAAAAAAGCTCCCGTGTATGAATCTCACCATAGACATTAATGTCTAAAAAGCGATTTTTAATTCATGTCTATGGTGCTATTTTATGCAACATTGCATGCTGGCTAAATATACTGTCTGTGCCTGCTGTCCATTCAAACGAAGTAAACTGGATATAAACTCCCCAAACAGGCGAAAACCCACCAGTTTCACCCACTGTCTCTGCCACCTCCCTCCATGCCTGGCTCCTCCGGTTTGTATCCCGGTAGGTGAACAGAGACTGATCATATAGCACCGGGTGATTCCCTACCGCTACGATGATTTTCTCCTCCATTTTTTGCATATGAGGAAATGAACCTGTTTGATTGGCTAGCGCTTGTACTGGCAGATTTGCATACGCGGGAGCACCGCGAGAAAAGCTACGCTTTGCTCCCACAATGCAGTTCGGCGAATCGTGAAGTCACCCCATTCAAAGTGAATGGGCAGAAGCGTTGAAGCGTCAACGCACGCCGCCGTGTGTAGAGGGCCGTAAGGAAGTGGCAGATTTTTTCCGGCTGTCTATTTTCAAATTCTAGCGCACTCGAGCTGGTTTCTCCAAAATTACCTACCCCACCTTTAATAGTTACTGAAATAGAGCCCTGCTGTTTTGTCAGGGCCTTATCTTTAAATATAATTTTAAAATGTCGATACAGTAGCCCCTTTTTTTAAATGTCTATGCTTAAGTTTTTATAGGTGTTGCTATCTGCTTTGTGTAGCGTGGTTCTACAAGCAAGTCAGTGCATTCATTGGGTGGTATCAGAGAGTTACAAGGGTCTGTAAATGCAATGAAAACATTTGGCCACAGCAAATCATTTATATTAAACATGTAATTTTTACTTTTGAATACTCCAGTACAAAGGATGTATTGAATAATTTCAAATTTCAAGTGATATATGTGTACACATATAAATCATTAGTCAAAACAGGGCTACATTTTATTTAATTATAAAAGGTATAATATGTGGTAAACTGAAGAGCCGTTTGGGAGCCGAAAGAGCCGGAATTCCCATCACTCATTCGGAAAACGAAGAGTGGAACAGGCGAGCAAGTGTGCAGGTGTGCGTCATATGAGAGGCCCCGCCTTACATTTTCCGCCACAGATTTGGGGAAATTGGTCCGTGCGCAAAGCATTGTGGGGATTTTAAGACCGCGGAGTCTACACATGTACAGCCTCGAAATTTCTCCAAACGAAGTACGCCGGGCTCTGTAGAATTCCAAGTATGCTGGACATTGGAACAGTACTTCGGCGGCACTCGATGACGTATGCTCGAAATAGTGGCTCGATGACGTATGCTCGAAATAGTGGCTCTGGAGCAGCTTTACTCGAGATTGAGAAACACCCCGTGGGTGTTTCTCAATTGCGAGTACGCTTGCTTGGTAGCACATGTCTGCCGAGCATCTTGCTTCAGAAGCGAGGCAAGAATACTTCCTGGCATTCGGAAAACGAAGAGTGGAACACGCTAGCAAGTGTGCAGGTGTGCGTCATATGAGAGGCCCCGCCTTACATTTTCCGCCACAGATTTGGGGAAATTGGTCCGTGCGCAAAGCATTGTGGGGATTTTAAGACCGCGGAGTCTACACATGTGCAGCCTCGAAATTTCTCGCTACGAAGTACGCCGGGCTCGGTAGATTTCCAAGTATACTGGAGATTGGAACAGTACTTCGGCGGCACTCGATGACGTAGTATGCTTGAAATAGTGGCTCTGAAGCAGCTTTAATCGCGATTGAGAAACACCCAGTATGTGTGCTCACAGAGCATGCACACCTTAAGCCCCGCCCCCCGAGCTCCCACTCTCGGCTCAGTAGAATGAATGGAGACAGAAAATAAATCTAGATTCGGCTTTTAGTGCATTTTACAACTTTAAGGACCGAATGATTCTAATAAGGGCTATAAAAGAGTTCATACTGGGTAGTTTAGTTAGTTTAAAAAAGAGTATCCGCTGATTTACAGACGTCTCTTTCCCAATGTTAGTCGGAAAAAGTCTTTCTGGGCCCAGTGACGTCACGGACTGATACGGACATTGTAGTACCGCCGTTTGGACCGAATATTTTCATCAGAGTCCGGCGCACTTCCTGGGGGCTTGGCCGAGAGTGGGGGTGTTTCTCAATCTCGGGTAAAGCTGCTCCAGAGCCACTATTTCAAGCATACTACGTCATCGAGTGCCGCCGAAGTATTGTTCCAATGTCCAGCATACTTGGAATTCTACCGAGCCCGGCGTACTTAGTTTGGAGAAATTTCGAGGCTGCACATGTGTAGACTCCGCGGTCTTAAAATCCCCACAATGCTTTGCGCACGGACCAATTTCCCCAAATCCGTGGCGGAAAATGTAAGGCGGGGCCTCTCATATGACGCACACCTGCACACTTGCTAGCCTGTTCCACTCTTTGTTTTCCGAATGCCAGGAAGTATTCTTGCCTCGCTTCTGAAGCAAGACTATGGAGCTAATTTCCTGTCATAACTCCACAAACAAACTAAACAGGTTTTACAAATGCCACATGATTCACTAACAAACACAATGTGGTTTGCAAATACAAAACACCATCTACAAACTAATGCATTTAGTTTTGCAAAGAAAAAACGTATCTATCAAATAAACACATAACATTTTTCTAATAAATCATGTTTCAGAGACAAATTCAGCATAGGTTTTACAAGTACACAACTTTTTTTTACAACTACAACACTTTACAACACTACAAGGCTCCTTCTTTGGGCTGATTATATAACTACAAGGAAAAGCGTATTTAATTCCTCTTATTCTTACCAACTCACGTCAGATGGGCCACGTATGCATGTCAACAAACATATTTGTTTAAAACAAAGATGGTTACAAATCACATAAAGATAATTTCAATAGTGTGAGGCTAAGATTAACAACTACAATTGGAAAAATCAGGCCGGTAAATCTTTAATGCATCCAAAGTTTGCCTCTCCTTTTATAATTTTTTTGTGAGATTGGTGTGAGAACTCGGTTCCCAAGTTGGTGAGCTGTAAGCACAAAGTGAAGTGTGTTTTGTTGTAAGCAATTAGAAAGGAATGGCTACCATTATTTTTAAATTAGGAATTATAATAGCAGGCAAAACTCGTTTTAAAGGGGACCTTCCCAGCAGCTTCTACTGAAGCCTTCAGAGTAAATCGCCAGAAGCGCCGACACCTCCTCATCACTCCACCGCTCCCATGTTTTCTTTCGTGTTGCCATAAGTTCGTCTCTGGGTGTTTCTCAATCTCGAGCACGCTTGCTTGGTAGCACATGTCTTCCGAGCGTCTTGTATGGAGCTAATTTCCTGCCATAACTCCACAAACAAACTAAACAGGTTTTACAAATGCCACATGATTCACTAACAAACACAATGTGGTTTGCAAATACAAAACACCATCTACAAACTAATGCATTTAGTTTTGCAAAGAAAAAACGTATCTATCAAATAAACACATACCATTTTTCTAATAAATCATGTTTCAGAGACAAATTCAGCATAGGTTTTACAAGTACACACATTTTTTTTACAACTACAACACTTCTTTT